GGGCGGTCCCCAAACACAGAACAACACCCTGCTCACTTGAGGTGGTGTCAGGCAGGATGTCACTGGGGGTGAGCTGGGCTGCCGCCACGGGAGGACTCCACGCTGTCAGAAGTGAGGCTGGAGGGGAAGAGGAGGCATGGAGGGAGGCCGAGGTCACAGATTCGGCGTTCCATCCCAAGAGGCTCGTCCTGCCCAGCGCTTCCTGGGGCTGTAACCAGGGACACGCTTTTCTCTTCTCAGAATCTCCATTTCCTCTACCGTAAAATGGGCAAAATATCATCTGCCTCCCGGGTGGGGGGGGGATAATAAATCTCGGCAAGCCGTCGCGGGGCTCCCCCATGGTCACCGTGTCCCCTTCGACTGCCCTTACTCTCCTGGAGGTGCACGGGGTCCTCCCCGTTCCACAGAGAGGAAAGCAGGTGCTCAGAGAAGGGATGTCCCTGGCTAAGACCGTGAGTCAGTGGCAGAAGCCGACCTTGAGCCTGGCCTGCCCCGCCCTGAAGACACCCTGGTCCCGCCTGTGACCCCAGGATGGGGACAGAGGGCAGCCCCTGAGCGAGAACTTCCACTCCCGCCGCCCGGACTCGCCCTCAGGACACTCCTCATCTTGTAGGGGAAGGGGAGGGACAAGGCACAAGGTCGCAGCTGTTCCCAGTTCTGCCTGTGGCCCATCTGCACACAGTCACGGAGGCTGGCCAGGGCTGGGGCGTGTGACACCCCGTCCCTCTCCACAGCCCAGTGAACAGGGGCTGTCCCCAAGCCCCTGGCCACCCTCAAAAGACCCCAGTTTGGCTTGAGCACTGCCCCTTTTCCCAGCATCTGGGGATGTAGGGCTGGGCTCCCAGGACGGCTGGCATCAAATATGGCCTCTGGTGCTCACCGGCTCCACGGATGTGGGCAAGGGCTTGCTCTCTGTGCGCCTCAGTTTATTTCTGTCTTTCTTTCTTTTTTTCTTTAGGTGCCAGAGATTGAATCTGGGGAGCCCAAATCCCGAGCCACATCCCCAGCCCTTTTTATTTTTTATTTAGAGACAGGGTCTCACTAAGCTCCTTAGGGCCTCCCTAAGTTGCAGAGGCTGGCTTTGAACTCGAGATCCTCCTGCCTCAGCCTCCCAATCTGCTGGGATTACAGGGTGCGCCACTGCGCCCCGGCCTCGGTTTCTTTGGATGGTGGTAGTGATGGAGCTCGCCTTTCTCTGCCTCTGATGCCATTGGAGGTCAAGGTCCCTGGCTCAGAGCAACTGTCTGGGTTTCAATCACAGCTTTGCCATCTTTCTGGGCAAGCGATGTTCTCCGTCTGAGTCTCGCTTTCTCCTTTTGTAAAATGAGGGTACCGATCGTTCCCACCCACGTGACAGTCACAAGGACAAACGAAAAGACGTGAGAACATCTGCCGTGGTCCTTGTCCTCAGGCCTGCCTGAGATGGGAGCCTCCCTCTGTGGAAAGCCCTCACCTAGCCTCCCCTCCTGTTTCCGCCTCCAACAGTCCTGACGTCCGCCCCATCAGGAGGAGGCGAGCCTGGAGAGAAACTCACAGGCCCTGCTGCTGGCTCTCCGCTTCCCCAGGACCCCAAGTCCCCGCGGGCTTCCAGTCGGCCAGCAAGCCTCCAGCCCAGAGAGGGAGGAGCTGGCCTCCGAGTCACACAGCAAGGTGGGCAACGTCCCGGCTCTTCCCATGGCCCACTGCAAAATCAGTTCTTCACCTCCAGAATGCTGTTCCTGTCCAGAGAGGCTCCTTTCTTCCCCATCTCAGATGTTCTTTCGGCATGAATTTCGCCCCTGGGCCGTGTCCTGAAGCCTGGGATGGGCCCCTCACTCGTCCGCCTGTCTGTGCTCCAGGGCTTTCTCTGGGTCTCTCTGTGGGGCTCCCTCCTCCCTCCGCACCGCCCCCCTGTCTTCCCGCTGTCTCTGCTCTGGCTGCCCCTCTCTGCCCAGCTCTCCCTGGCCTCGCCTCGGTTCACTCTCTACTTGATTTTCCCTTTTTCTCTGTCCCTCTCTGGTTCTGTGGCTCTCCCTGACGTCAGTCTCTCCCGCTCCCACTATATCCCTCGGTCTCTTTCTCTGCCTCTCTCTCTCTGCACGCGTGTATGTGCGCACACACACGCACACACACACGCACACACACACGCACACACGCACACAAACGCACACACACGCACACATGCACACACACACATGCACACACACGCACACACACATGCACACACGTACACACGCACACACACGCACACGCACACACACGCACATACACGCACACAAGCACGCACACACAGGCGCACACACGCACACACACCTGGCAGACAGACGCGCGGAGCCCCTCACCCACCCACCCCACCTGGGGAAGCAGGGCCCACCTGAGAGCAGGATTCCCGTCCACGGGTGGCTCCGGGAGTCAGCAGGCCCCATGGGTCCCCGGCCCTGGCTCCAGGGTGCCAGGCCCTCCGTCTCCTTGGCTCCTTCCACAGACAGCTGGTCACTGCAGCCCTCCAGCTGCCCTCTGTCCCTCCCGCTCTGTGGCAACTCCCCAGAACTGCGCTGACAGTGGCTCCCGGGCAGGTGGGTGGGGGCGGGAGGGAACTTTGGCCTCACCTCTGCCCTCCCACACCCCAGGGCTCACTTTCCTCCTCTCCCCAGCACGCAAGCAGGAGTCCCAGGACGCCCAGGACCAGGAACTGAGGTCACCACGGCCAACGACAATAAAAACAATCCTGGCCAGGCACCCAGGGCTCCGCTGGGCTGGATGCCAGGCTCACGGCGAGCAGCCTGTAAATGTCAGACGAGCTGAGACTGTGCGTGTGATACAGGTCCTGCTCGTACACACGGCTCTCAACTCAGGCAGGAAGCAACTGGCCAGGGCTGGGAAAGCCCCCGGGAGGCTTCCGAGAAGACCTGGAGAACATCTGAAGGTTTGATCTAGGAGAGTCACTCTTTTCTTTCTTTTTCCTGTTTGTTTATTTATTTATTTTTCTATTTTGCTGTACAGGGTATTAAACCTGGGAATGCTCTACACTGAGCTACACTCCCAGTCCTTTTTATTTTGCCACAGGGTCTCACTAAGTCATGGAGGCTGGCCTCACACTTGCCATCCTCCTGCCTCAGCCTCCTGAGTCGCTGGGGATTACACACACGCACCACCAGGCCAGCTCTTTTTCCAATCCTGTATGAGCAAGACAAGCTCTTGGCCTTTGAAAGTCTATAGATCAAGATTTGTCATTCTACTGTAAAATACATAAATAATTTTTTTTAAAAAAAGTTTTTAAAAAAGATTTAACATTAAACAGGGGAAGTCAGCAGGCCCCATGGGTCCCCACCCCTGGCTCCAGGGTGCCAGGCCCTCTGTCTCCTTGGCTCCTTCCACAGACAGCTGGTCACTGCAGCCGCAGCCCTCCAGCTGCCCTCCTGGCCCTCAGGGGAAATACCATTAATCCAATCATAAATCCATTCATTCATCTAGCAAATACCCCCTGAATTCTCCCTGTGCTGATCTGGGTCCCTGGTGTCTTGGGGATGTAACGCTGACCATGACAGCTCCAGCTCTGTCCCCAATAGGGGACACAGACCTGACCCCAGCTAGCAAGAAGCCGGAGCAGGCAGGACTGGCCTGGGGTGGGGGGTCAGAGGGGTGCGTGGCTCAGGGAGGACCAGGGACCAGGGCTGAGCCTGGAGGACAGAGGGGCGGGCCACGGCAGCAGCCTGTGAGGCCCAGAGGGAAGTTCCCGCGACTTAGGCACAGAGGACCGGAGGCGCGGGGGCCAGTGGGGCTCTGAAACCTCTAAGCTACTCCTCGGGGCACCAGGAGCCCCGGGCGTCCAGGGAAGGAGGCCTCACTCCTGCTACAGGTGGCCACCAGGTATCTGTCCCCAAGAGCGTGAGCCTGCAGGTGGCTCTGGAGCCAGACGGCCGGGTCTGCACCCCGACTCCCCCATTTCCCAACTGGGCGGCCCTGGCCCATGGGTCCCCCTCTAGTTGGGAGTCGGCTCTGAGATGGACAGAACAACGGCCTGGCCTCTGAGGAGGCTCGGCGGTCAGGAGCGGGAGGCTGCCCGACGCCCGGGCTGGCGTCCCATCCTCCACGTCCAGCTGCAGTCCCTCCAGAGTCACATCAGGTCTGTCCTCACGGGACGGTGGCAGGGACTCTGTGTCTGAAAGCTAGGAAAGCGCCCAGGACGGTGCCCGCCCAGAGGAGGTGCTGCAGGACCGTGACGCCCCCCAGAGGCGGTGACTCCCTGCAGCCCAGTTGACCCCCGTGAGGAAGGGGCCGTGGACTCACAGCCGAGACAGTGTCTGTGTGTCCCCAGGTTTGGATGTTGGAATCCCAGCCTTCGGGCCCTTGGGAGGCAGTTGTGTCCTTCCCACTGAGAGGAGTGACCTTGTCAACAGACTCTCCTTTTCTGATGGGGGTATAATGGAAGAGGGGGGTCCGCAACCCCGAAGAGGGTGGTTGCCAGAATCCTGGGCCAGCCCTGCTCCCGGGCCCCAGCCCCCAGGCCAAGAGCAGTGTCTGCAGCGCCGTCCCCCAGGCTGCCCGGGCAGCAGCAGCGCCTGGTGAGCCTGTCCCGGAACAGCCAGGCAGGACCAGCCCCGCAGGGACAGGGTCAGCCGGCAGCCAACCTGAGCCAGGGGACCAGGAGGACACAGTGTGGGACGTGGAGAAGACGCTGAGGCTGGCCCTCGTCCCCAGCGCTGCAGCATGGCTCTGCCGGGCTGGACCACAGAACGACAGCACCCTATGGGCACCCCATGGGCACCCCATGTGGAGCCCCTCTGGCCCCGTGGGAGTTCTGGTGGGCGGGCCCGAGGGCCAGGCCTGCCATCAAGAGCTGCACCCGCCACTCGACGGTGGAGAAGAACCAGGCTCCAAGCCGCGGCCCTCAGCTGGCCCCAGCAGGCACCCCGCCTTGATTAGCCCCTCGCGGGACACCGGGCTTCCCCGCTGTAGGGTCCCGGGCTCTGCAGACCCCACCCCCAGTCAACGCGGAGAAGCTCTGGTTTCCACACTCGCGGAGGAAAACTGAGTAGTGGGACAGGGTGAGCCCTGTCACCATCCATCTCGGGGTTTAAGTTGAGTATCGAGGCTCACGGAGGCGAGATGACCTGGAGAAGTCACCAAGTCTCTAGGACAAAGGGTTCTGCCCCACCCCAGCTCTCGGCCCCTGTGGCACTGTCGAGGGCCCAATCGTGGTGGCACCGGATTTCCCAGGTGCCCCGGGCTCCCTCCAGCCCCACCTTCTCTGCACACCCGCGTCAGTGGTCCTGGGGCCATGTCACCCGACATGCCCCCAGCTCGGCGCCCCCTGTGCTGAGAACACCTCTAAAACTGCTCTGGCCTCACCCCTTGCCCAGCATCCAAGGGTCCACCCCGTGTACCTCCTGGCTGCCGCCTTCCCCTCCGCACCGTCCACCTGGGCTGACCCCACCTCCTCCGACCCTCCTCCCCACCCAGAGGACAGAGCGGCCACTGGAGTGGACCTCCCAAAGTGACCCTTTCATGCAGGACCAGGGTGTTTTCCTCCCTACGTGCCCACCCACCCAGCCCCCAGGGCACAGTCCATCTTTTCCTGTCCCAAAGAAGTGTGTAGGAGGGACTTTGGGGACCTCCCTGCAGGTCAGCTCCTGCTTTATTTTCAACAGGTAAAAATGAATGACCTCAGTCCTTCCCACCTCCCCCGTCACCCGCCAAGTCCCAGCCACGCGGCCTGGCTCCACATCGTGTCTTCCCTCGAGGGACCCAAGTGGCCTCCCAACCCCCCTTCCCCGCCTGGGAAGATGTGTGTGGCCCTACTGTGTGCCTGAGACACACCAGCACATGTGCCACAGGTAGGGACAGGGACAGTTTCGTGTAGGAAGTGAGAGGCCCCCAGGAATCAGGGCGTGAGAGAGAAAAATCCGTTACATGAGGACGACCCCCGATGCAGCGGGGACCAGGCAGGGACTCTGGCAGGTCCTCTGAGAGACGCCGCGAGTGAGGGTCAGAATTCCGATTTGAACGGTGGATTTCTGAATGTCACTTCAACCTGGGGTCACGTGGGCCACAGCTTCAGGCGGGTCCCACGTGGAGGGTGACGGAATGTGAGACGTGGGCCAGGCCCAGGGTGCACAGCTGCCATCCCAGCCACTCAGGTGGCTGAGGCAGGAGGAGGGCAAGGTTGAGGCCAGCCTCCGTGACTGGGCAAGACAACTGGAAGGACTGGGGCGGAGCTCAGTGGTGGAGCCCTCGTGGGTTCCATCCCCAGGAGGAAGGACGGAAGGAGGAGGAAAGGAAGAGAAAGAAAAGGGAAGGAAGGGACAGGCGTGGAGAGGTGAGCCCGCGTCCTCACGTGCTGGGCCGGCTGGCGGCTGGTGGCTGGCGGCTGGCGGGTGGCGTGGAAGGGGCCTGCCAAGCTGAAAGGGTCAACAATTATTTTTTTTTTCCTTTTAAGGAAAGAGCCTGGGAGTGATTGCAATCCTTACCCCACAGTGACCTCAAGTTGGTCAACACAGGCAGCCTGGCCAAGACCGCTCCTCTTTTGGTTGGGAGAGGAGAGGGCGCCTCTGGACAGGTGTCTGTCCACGGCTGCTCCTCAGGCAGCTGACTGCCCCAGCTGAAGGCCAGGAGTCCCCGGCCAGCCCTATCCAAGAAGGGGACTTTCTGTTCTGACCCTGACGGCCCAGGAAGGGCACAGGCGCCACCAGCTGTGGCGGGGGACAGCCGGCTCTCAGTCCCGAGTCACTGCCCTCCCTCGCTAACCTAGAAGCAGCCCCGCATCGCACTCCATGCCCCTCCCCAACTCACCCCAACCTCCTGTCAGCCACCCAGGCCTGGGGTCCCACCCATTAATGACTCTCACCTCCTCCTTCTCCCCCACCCCTCTCCTCTCACCCCTGCCCCAGGAGGAGGATGGGAAAAGGACTTTCCTCTGCAGCTAAGCAAGAGGAAAGTCATTTTATCTCCCACCCCACCTTCAAAAGGCAGAAAAAGAGACAAACAGATAAGATCTCTGCTCCGAGGATGAGCCTGGGGTCCCAGAGAACCACAAAGCTTCTGTTGCAATGGTGACTGGCACTGGGGTCCACCCCAGCATGTCAGCTTATCTGACCTCTGCCCAGATGTGTGCAGGGATGAGGCAGCCAGCCGCGCGGCACCTTGGTTCCAGTCCCCATTGCTCTGCGCCAGCCTCTGTGTGTTACCCCAGATGTGGGGTAGATAGGAATGGGTTCAAAGCTGAGCTCCCAGGCTTGCTAGCTGTGTGACCCTGAGCAAGACACTGAGTCTTTTCAAGCCTCAGTTTCTTCTTCTGGGTAATGGGTATGGCCATCGCCCTTCCCCGCTGCATGACCTGATGAGATGATGAGCTTTTGAATGTGATGTCTCTGCAGAGAGGGAAACGGGGCAGGTGCCTGGGAAAGGAGGCTGCAGCCATTTTTCATGCTCCCATGAAATAGTGGCAAAGCTACCGGATCCTAAGGCCTGGAACCTGTAAGTGTCATCATATAAGGAAGAAAAGGGTGTTTGCAGGTGGATTAAGTTAGGAATCTTGAGGGCAGGAGATAATCTTGGATTATGCAGGTGGCTCCTAAATATAGTCACAGGGGTCCTCCAAAAGAGCAGAGGGAGGCTGCACACGTGGAGAGGGGACAGCAGCGTGGAGAGGGCAGAAAGAGACGGGGCCACAAGACACGCAACGAAGCCACCTCCGGAGCCTGGAAGAGACGAGAGCAAATTCTCCCTTGAAGCTTCTGGAGGAGGCACCACCGGCAGACACCTTGAT